AATTCCTTTGAAAAAGGTCTTTATTTTTCTTCACTCACAACAACTGTTGATTCTGGGATTTGAGCTGGTTTTGCACTTGAAAAAAAAAATCAAAAAAAGTTACAATAAGCTAGATTAGATAAATGCTCAAATGATTTTTCTTTGAAAAGTCAACAGTTCGAAAACTAGCGTAATGTTTTATATTGTCATACTTAATCATCAAACTAAGATTCCCTGAAACTGTTATCCGAAATATTATATCCTATATTGTCTCCGTATTCAAATAGCTTTCGGAAACACGAGGATACGCGCAAAGATTAGATTCTCACAAAATTTCAGTTTTGTGAGATAGCTCTTAAGCTTTTAACGGAATAGTTGAAACGAAATGATACCCTCTTCTAAAACGAAAAATAGGTCCATTTGCATTCTAGTGTCTCATCGTTTTTTCCTTTGATTTCATGAATTTCCTCTGAAAACACTGCATAGCAGATTGCTCTTTATTTTCTGGTCCAAAATGCACTAAAGTATCCTCCCTCATTAAGGCTTCTCATACATTACGTATTTTCCTTTTTTAAAAGCAAATTTCATACATAAAATGATGACAGTCTACTTAAGTGTTTCCTCATTGGACAGAAAAGGAGAAAACCTTATATATATTGAATATTTTCCAATTAAGACAATAACTAGCCTATGATATGAAAAATTTGTTTAAATGCATCTTATGTGTGAACAGAGCTTGTTTAGTCGATGATTACTATGAAAACTATTGTTAATATCTCCTAAACTTATCGTCAGAATTTCTGCTGTTTGAATTTGTATGATATAAGGATTTTGTTTTAGTTGTTTCGAGTAACTGCGTTTTCAGGCATTTCAGGAATTCAGACCTATCATTCTATCTGTTTAAAGTTCATTGCAAAGAAAAAATTTATTTCTTTGATATCCCGTGAGCCAGTTTCAGACTTTGACATGACGAAGTATTTTATTTATTAGCTTCTTCAGATTTTAGTTCCTTCTAAAATTCATAAACATGTTATTTTAAAGGTATTCTTATCGAGATCTATTATTGCTGTTAGAAAGACTGCATTTTGAAACAAAACAAAACAAAAAACTCATTATAGCGCACCTGATATGTTCGAAAAAATTATCTTTTTCCTATAATATTTAGTTGTATTCAAATCATTTAGAACGCTCTGTGTATCCAATTTTTATCAATGAATTAATATCATAAACAACAAATGATTTTCTACCATATACTTGATATTTCTAGGTTTACCAGCGGCTCTGATAAGGGTTTTCAAACGTCTTAGAATCCGGAAAATACAGATATAATTTCTGACAGGAGACACAACATGCAAACACAATTGGTACAAGATTCTGTTATTGTAGACCATGCTCAAGAACATCATAAGTTTTCGACTGAAAAAAACAAGAAAATTCACTTATCTCTGTTGTTAGGTTCATAAGAGTATTCTGAACACACGTCCTCGATGTCATATTGCATTATTTATTCTCCGTTAATGACATCTCGATAGAAGAAAATGCAATAAAACAAGGGGTGCACATTGTGCACTCTGTAGGCACTGGTTTAAAGATTGTATTGTGGGTACCAGGTAAATATCTTCCAGATCATACAGCTGTTAACTACGTCTGGTAATGTCCTTATTGTAGTTAAGACCCATTGATTCATGCTGATGCCAAACTGAAGCTCATAAATACAGCGAAGATTGGAAACAAAAGAACAATTTGTCTTCTTTCCCACTTTCAGTTATCAGGTTGCCTATCTCTTCCATGTGTACAGCTTTTAACCCAGTGAACTTTGATCATTTGTCGATGTCTAGAAGGATGTTTTAGCTGTAAAGTTTTATACGAGCTAGAGTATTTTCTATTGCCATATAAGGTCTTGATGTTACACTCTAGCAATTCAATTGTGATGTCAGTTCTCTCACGGCAATATTCAGAATGACCTTTTTGAGCGCCCTCAATCTACTTCAGCCTTTTCTGATATCTTATGCCTTCTTTATTGTTCACTTTTTTGGACACACCGCTGTTGTTGTTTGTTGCCAACAACATGTCTTAACCTAATATATTACAATAAATACATTCCGCAAAAGAGCATTTGATCGCTGGCAATTCTAATTACCTATGTTTGAAGCACTTTTTCGTTCTTTTTTCGCTTTAGATTTCAGGTTACTCAATCCGTGAATACAATATTTATTTTTCATTATCACCCACTAATATTTAGGGTAACAAAAGCACAAATTGTAAAAACATCTGTTAAAAAATCTGATTGAAATTTTGATTGAAATTTCATTTTGTTAAAAAATCTGATACAGACACCACATCACTTTCTTGTACGGAATATTAAATTACACGCATTTTTTGCTGCATTTCATTTAAACTTATTTTCCCGAATTTCATTACAGATAGATTTCTCATTCAATTAATCTAGTTCTCCCTTCGCAACAACGCAAAAATACAAAAAACATAATGGCAATATAGTTAAAACAATTAAACACCAAGTTTTACAATTAAAATTAGAATTCTAAGCAAAAACAAGCAAATCGGCCAGCAGACAAAGAGGCAGATATTTTGATGCACAAAATTGAAAATTTTTCTTTTGACAAAAAAGTAAATTTTCAAAAAAAAAAAAAAAAAAAAAAAAAAAAAAAGACGCTAAAGGTGCAGAAACTGACTTAATTCACTATTCAGCTAAGTTTCAAATATAAACAAATATTGCTGCTATAGTAAAATAAATTAGGCTTAGCCGCGCTTAAATAACTTTTAAATTATTGATAATTCTACAACTATTGCATCCAGATTAACTAAAGCATAAAAACCTTAACTGGAACGTAAGAATAACATAATTTCATTAATTTAATCATTTTTAGAGCAAAAAATGCTCAATTTACCAACATGAGCTCACCGAGCAGAGTAACAGAGTGGGTATATAAATTCAAGTCCCCGTTAAACATTTTTAACAATTTACATTCCAGTTACTTTAAAACAATTTTCGGAATTAAACTTACTAACTATGGATTCACTCTTTTTAGATAATTCTACTAAAATTAATCTTAGAAGATAATATATTCAATATTTCTTTAGTAAATATATATATATATACAATCGAAATAGAAATTGAAAAGAAAAAAATCGAAATAGAAATTGAAAAGCTAAGTAATGTGACGTAAGACCTATTTGGTCTTAAAAATTTTTTGCGCAAAATGCTGCAAAAATATGAAATAAAAGGAAGAAATATTGTAGCGAGCTTCTAAAAAGTTACCAGGAGCTGTAGCTCCATGAAATAGTTCAACGCAGTATTTTTAAAATATTAACATAGAAGTAATTAAAAAAAAAAGTATATATTAACATGGAAAAGTGAAAAAACAGCTTACACGCGAAATAAAACTGTTAAAATCAATTTTGGAAAACATGTGAATGCACAAATAAACTAATCTGATCGTTGTGATATGTGAAAAGTTAATACATATAAAAACAGATCGACGGAACAAGTTAAAACAAAATTAAAAAATAATTAAAACATAAATTGCAAAAATTATTATTAAAACATAAATTGCAAAATTACAAAAATTATAAAAATTACAAAGCGGAAAATGGTAAATTAGCCCAATTGGACATCCAACCAGGTTTTTCAAGGGAAAAAAGTTGAATGTCGAACCAGGCCAAACACCATTACGCGTTTCGCCGAAACAGACAATTGAAGCTCTTGTTTGAGGAAAAAAAATTTTTTTAATAATATGAATTGTCCCGAAAAAATCTTTTTGGAGCTTCAATTCTCTGTTCCAATTTCCCGACGCGTCCACAGAAAACACATTAAGGTGTAAGAAAAAGTAAATGCAACTCCGAACAAAACAAAATTAAAATCAAAATAAAATAAATAGCGGTCTGCTATTAAAAATGCCACCATCTAATCCTCACAACATTTTTACTTCTTCATTGGATCTAAAATTGCTAGAAATATTTTCAAATGCATTCCAGCCTGTTTTACCTATTTAGAGTGTCTTTTATCTGCTTAGGTTTTAGAGCTGTCTAGTTTGAGATCTGGTTGAATTTTTTCTCTTTTATCTAAAGTCTCAAAAGATAAGACCTTTTAGTATTCATTTCTCTCCTTTTAGTATTCAACCTTTGATAAATATTTTATTAAGGCTCAATTTTGATAAAATTGAAGTAAATCCAATAAATTTTTCTCTGTCCTCTAAGACTTCACATTCCTCAATTTTCTTATCAGAGAGATAAAATTTATGTAGAAATGATTTTTCCATGATGATCTTTTGCTCAGCTATTCCATTTGCATAAAATACAGTAAAGTCTTCTTGAATCCTGTCAGTAATGATGTGGCCATTAAATCAAGGCAGAGGTTCTACTGATGGTTTTTTGCAATGTATATTTTGAAGTTTTCATTAGTTTATCTGATGATTTTACCATAAATTTCAGGAATAGTGTCCATTCACATTAATAACTGAATTTATCATTAAATAAACTTTGGAAGAGCCAAATCGGACTTCTATAGACTTCTACATAAGGCAGCTTCAGTCTATTAATCTTCAAGCATAGCGTTCAAACATATTTCGTCCTCTTAACTACTGAAACGTTATTTTTCACATTATGTGTATATTATATTTTATGCTGCTTATATTACTAAATACTCAAATTAATTTGCAATTGCCTTACGATAAACAATTTTGTTTCAATATCAATGCTTTTTTCTTTTCTTAAAAACACCATTTTGCCATAAAATATTACTTTCCAACATAGTCATACCGTTTGATGATTTTTTGTTTGTTTGTGTGTTTTGGCGTTTTTTTCTGGATTCCATTTGTCGCCAGTTTGGTTTCGCTTCCTTCCTGGCGATAATTGTCTTCACAGACATCTCTCGCGTAATCACATTTTTCGTCTAATTAGTCTTTTCCGTCTGCAATGGATTTTACGAATTGGTATTTGCCACATAGTGGTCCGTATTTCCAGTCATTCCGCACTGGTCGTTTTTTGCGTCGTCTTAAGCGATGCAGGTAAGTCATGAAGGGTCCATGCCCTTTTAGAAACTGAGGTAAGCCATGCAATATCATGAAGAAAGTATCAAGTAGGTTTGAGTGTGTGTGAGATTATGGTAAAACCTCGAGGGCTATCTGCCTAAGGGGAGGGATGCCTTCGTGGAGGACTTTATAAGGGAAACTGGCTCGTATACATGTTACACATGTGGATAACCACGAAAACACACATGCAGCCAGCCCGTTCGCGGATTCGAACCTCGGACCGAACTACCAGTGTTTAGCGACTTTACCGCTCGGCCGCTGGTGGGCCCTCAAATAGGTTTGAAGTTTGCACATTGCATAGACGTAGATGAAACATACTAGTAATTAGCATTATAGTACGCAAATCATGAGCGCAAATGAAGCCACCTAGCAGTGTATAGAAAAGAAGAACAATGGCTTATTCTAGGTACTGGAGCTGTATGTTTTGGTCCTCTGATTGGGAAGTTTTAATACGATTAAAGAATGTGGTTTATAAAGTCTGAAGATCATGAAATAAATATTGAAGGAAATCAAGCTACAGTGATGTCAGTATGAAATCTTCGAGAACATGAGGAACGAAATAATATGCGAGAACGTTTTCAGCATGATATTTTCTTCTCAGACAATGTTCATCCATACCTCTTTGGATTTCCAGCAGCCAAGTTTCAACAGAATAATGCACGATTGCATGTTTCACTCAATATTCAATGATTGTTCATTGTCCATCAGGGCGCACTATTGCCTTCGCCCATCCTTTCGCACACTATGTCATCATTGAAGACGAGTAATTGATGACTGGAAAACGAGTGGCCTGCCTAACGTAAACCACACACAGCTACTCCAGTTAAGCTCTGGCAACATATGCGTCAGTCTATGCTTTTCATTACAAGCTGACGTCTCTCCAAGCTCGTACCCAGAGCCTCTTTATTTGATTGCCGAGCCATGTCGCAGCAGTTATTGACAGTCACGGTGACTATAATATTCCTGTTCAACTTCGTTTATTCCACAATCCGAATGAGGTTTTAATTTTATTCAGTTTGTCCTTGTACTTTATGTTATTTGTCCAGTAAATATGGTTCTGATTTCTCTTATTATTTATGGTGTTGAATTTCGAATGGCCAATAGTATACTAAAATATTGGCAATGCCAGCAGAAAAGAGGAAAAAAGGGAATTGACATAAAAATTATTGGTTATTTAAAGTAAATCATTACAAAAGGAACTAATTTTAAATTGAATACGCTATCTTTTCTAATATATATATACGTATATATATATTAAAAGAATGAGTTTCGAAGCATGTTTTAATTCTTAGTTATATATGTCGATATTTTTTCCCTTCCCTTAAATTTTAGTTATTAAATTTGAATTACGTTTGAAGTTCCTTCTTTCCTTTTTACTTGTGATATTGATAATATTAAGAAATATTTTATCTCAATTCAATATTAATAGTTAAACTGGGGATAAATTCATGTTTAATCCTTTTGTAGGGAAGAGAAAAGAAAAATTATATGTCACATGAAATAATTCAAATACATTTCTACTAATACAAAAAACTTAGTATGAGTGTTTCATTTATGTTAAAAATAGAAGAAATGTATCATGATTTAAGTTCGTTAAAATTTGCTCCGATATCTAATCAAACATGGAATTTTATCGATAATTTTTACACAGATTAAAGCATAAAAATTAATTATATGAATTTGTTAATTCACTAAAGAACCCTCGAAATTGTTTTATTCATTAAGGCAAAGCACGCGAGGGTTATGTGCCTAAGGAATACCTTTGTAGAGGACTGTCTGAAGAAAACTGCCCACCAGTGACTGGGCGATAAAATCATTGAACACTGGTAATTCTGACCTGGGTTTGATTCTAAGTGAACGGGCCTGCATGGCCTTTTTGTGGTTTTCCGGATGTGTAACCTGTATACGAGCCAGTTTCCCTTCGAAGGCTCTCCGCGAAGGCATCCCTCCCTTTAGGCAGATAGCTGTGTGCTTTGCTATAATCTATCAAACAAATCCCAAAGAAAGCTCGTATCACCCAAGGGAAAATCACGAAAACGCCCATGCAGCCAGAGCGTTCCCTTGGAATGGAACTCATTTCGAACTACCAGCTTTCAGTGAATTTTACCGCTTGGCCGCTGGTGAGCTCGAATCCTCGAAATGATAAGATGGCAGAGCGAAATTGAATGTACTTTATTTACATTATAATAATCTACTCAAAAAATTAAAACATAAGAGTTGTGCAGGTATTGATATTAATTATTTCTTTAAGTTTTCATAATTATTATTATTCTAAGGCAAATAATATTTTCTTTCTTTTTCATGGAATTGTTTCAAGCAATTGCTGAAAATTGGTAGTTCTTTATTTAGACTATCCCAAATGAGTTGCAAATACCAAGTTTTTCTTTTCCACAAGTACATTTTTTTTCCGTTTCCCCATTAATCAGTTCGGTTGTTAAATCTGATTTCATCTTCTAGGCTCATATGGATAAAAAGAAGAAAATCCTCAATATCCGTCCCTCTATTGAACAAAAGTTCCATCCTTCTGCCGTGGAAGATATCATCCGTGGCATTATAACAGCTGAGTTATCGGACAAGCAGTATGACCACATGTACGTTCCTGAATGGACAAAGACTTTGAGTCGGAAGATACATGACAGGATGCTCGAAATGCCATACGAAAGATTCAAGTTCATTGTGCAAGTTGTAATCGGCGAGAATTGTGGCCAAGGAATGGTTTCCCTATGCGGTTGCCTCTGGGATGAAGATACAGATGGACGGGCAACAGTTATCTTCAAACGAAATAACTTGTACTGTGTTGCGACAGTATTTGCTATCTACTGTTACTGTTATGAATAAGAAAATTTTTGTGATGTAGATAGTTGTGATAAATGTCTAATGGTTAAAGAATACTTTGCATTCAAGTAACGTTATTACTGTTACTTAATTTGCTTTCTCTAATTTCTTCAGTTCAGACATTTTCCTACTGCTTAAGGTCTTTTTAAATTCTGTGTGGTAAAATATTAAATTCAAACTAAATTTTGTTTGAATATAGACTAGTTCATATATAGGAAGTTTTAATATGGGCAAGACTCATATTTAAAATATTAAATAGGTATTTTGAACAGTTTTTAAGTATTTTTAAAGGATTTTAAGGATTTTTTAATGTTTATAGATTTTTAATCCTTTTTAAAGGATTTTTTTCAAGGATTTTTCGAAAACATCGATGAGAATATGTCCCAGGATTCTTCACGATTGGGACTAAGTATCCTAATCGTAACAGTATGTTTGTATTATGCTAGAGATTTAAGTAAATAATTAGCAAAAATAAATATAAACAGAATGAATTTATTACATTTAACTTTAAACCATAAATTCTCTGTTAATGTGTGATACAGCGCAAAGAAAGTTTACAAAATGCTTTTCTATCTACTTACCTACGTATTTTAAAAAAATTCATCGATGCTCTGGAATTCGAGGTCACTTTTCAATGCTTTATTTAAGAAATTAAAAACAGTAGTTATGAATAAATTTTACTGGAATTTTCTAGATTTTTAGTATCAGGAAAATGTAACTTTGAAGATAACAAACAGAATCGAACCCTCGGTGTTATTCTTGACAGCTGCATTTTTGACTGCCTCTTATTAGATTATGCGTTATCTGCCAGTTTATTATAATGAATTATTAAATTGTAACTCACTGCAGTTATTATCATATAAGTACTTAGTATGTATCATAAGTACTAAGTATGATCATAAGTATCAAAAGTAAGTTATTTTAAGTTTCTTTAAATATGATGCAGTGCTCTAATATTTGGTGGCAACAATCTGAAAAGTAAAACGCCGTTTACTGAACCGACGCAAAATGCCAAAATGAAATTAATAGCCCTTCTGGGCGAATTTCTCCTCTCGAGTTAAAAAAAAAAGAAAGTACTATTATTATTATTTAAATTTGTGCTTAAAATTTTGCGCAGAAAAAAATCGTACCAGATTTCTAAAATTAATTTTTTTTTGTTATATAAGTTTTTAAATATCAATTTTCGATTCTGATATTTGAAAACTGTGTTTTATCGGTCATTCTACTATAAATAAATTAGTTCCACTTGGAAATTTTCTAAAGACGGCTCGATATCAACGTGGAAGCAAGTTGAATAGATTTCAACTATTTTATCATACTTGCCTGAATGGCTGAATTCAGTGTTAAAAATCCTTATAAGTTTTATTATTTCTTTGGCATATTTTAATTTTTTTTCAATGATGGAAAATATTGAGCATTATTATTTTTTAATTGCGAATCTTTTTTGCTTCTCATTCATAGAGATCAATTTCTTGGTATAACTCGAAAGATCTTGTAAACATTTTCTACTATTTAACCAACTGGCATGACTGAAATATGTAACGTCACCACATTCAGCATCTAATTCTATTTAAAATTCTTTGAATTGTTGATACGAGAATACACGTGATCGAATATAATTTACTATTTTTATGACCACTTGCATGACATGATTCATCGATAATAATTGAGGGATCAATTTGATTGATAAATCAAACAATTGATAATAATTAAATCTTCCATTTTAATGCTTTTGATTATAATTTATTTATTTATTAGTAATTTTACAGCTTCCTTTATCTTTAACGATCATAGCTGCTGTGCCATCAGTGGATACTCCAGAAAGAATTTCTAAACGCAAGTTGTTTACACATAAACGATTTTCGACAACCTGAAAGGCATCTTCTGCTTTCGTAGTGTCCTTCAAAATGATCAGGTTTTACATTCCTTCGACTACTTAAAATGATTCAGTTATTTAACGAAAGAATACTACAAGTTGAGCTGAGTCTGAAATGTCTGTACTTTTGTCAAATGTTAAAGAGAAATATTTGAAAATTTGAATGAGATCGCTCAGATTTGCGACAATTTTATTTGAAATTTTGGCAATTCAATTATATACCGTCTGCCGAGATAAACTAATATTTAAAAACAATTTACTTTTATCAGGCACAAGGCAAAACATCTTTTTCAACAGCTCTAAACATCCTTTTACAAATTCACCATTCGATTTTTTTTTTCTTTTTTTTGCAATTAGAAATAAAATGGATTAACATTCCTTCACAATAATAGATGGTTACTGTAATATTAAGCTAAACATTCTTTGTTCAGCTTTTAATTGTAATTTAAATATAAGGTTCAGTTCTTTTACTTCTTCCTCCAGTATCATACTCATTTTTTTTTTTTTTTTTTTTTTTTTGTATGTTAATGTCTTTTCATGCTGTATTCTCGAAACACAATTCCTCGAAAATTAAACATATTAATTTGGAATTTTTGAATTATAAAACAGTACTTATTTCCTATATTGTCTGTTTTTATCAACAATTTTTCTTTTCTTAGTACTCGTGCAGAAAATTTACTATATTGAAGACACTGAGCAATCACTCTGTATCCATGAGCATCAGAACCTAATATGTTAAATGTGATCTTCGCATGATCGCTCCAGCATAGTCGTTGTGCTTTTTCGATCAATTAGAAGCTATGATGTCACATCTTAAACTTGCTTCTGTTGTCAGCTATCATTTTTTTTTTCGAACTGCGTGCACTATTTTGTCTGTTTTTCGACACTGGCCACTCCTAAGGTTGGAAAGGCGGACACCGTTGCCTCCCATGAAGAGACGGACAGTCGCACCCATGCCTTAACTTGTTAAGCATTATTCGTTCCGCATAACAGAAGGGTACTACAAGTTCCCAACCTCCGCCGAAACAGGCCCAGAGGTTCAACTCCTGTCCTCAAACCTTGGAGGAATTGGCCCCATCGTACCTAGGACAACACAGGGCCGTCTATTTGCTACCTACAAGTCACACGGGCTGCCCGTCGCCCAAGAACATTACCCAGAAAACCCGGGGCGCCCCCCAAGACACAACCCAGGATGCCACCCCGGGTTCTAGGATTTGCCAGACCCACACGCCGACTAATAAGTGATCTTTCCGACGCCTTTAGAGCCACTAGGTTCGTAATTTGTATACCCCTGGCCGAGATTACTTAGGTACAGATCCTAGCCAGTAGCTTCGCAGAGTTCTCTACGTCGACTCCGGGGGGGGACACCCATGCCTTCTCCGGGATTCGAACCAGGGGCTTTCGGTATCGTAGTTGGCTCTTCTAACCACTATATCATCTGGGCGGCTTGGCAGCTATCATGGCCGTCCGTTCTGTTTTTACTCAGAGGAGTCATACCAGATTTCTTATTTTTCAGTTTGCTGCGTTAACAGAAGATGTCAAATTATAAATTTCGTAAATTCCGCCACTGTTCACAAAATTTTACAGGACGTTTCGCGGATGTAGTCCGCTGGTTGAATATCATTATATTACCGTAGTTGAAAGTGAGTTGAAATTCAATTGTATTTTCCGAAGGACCTTATGGAAGAAATCTCAGTCGGTGGTCTTGAAGCCACAGCTACCCTGCGGCTTGTCTATTACAAGCCCCTGCTTATCACGGGAATGCGGTCAGAGGATAAATTGTTACAGCCATTGGAAAACTGATAATGAAATAAAGAGATCGAGAATACATAAGAGCGCTGTTTCACAAATGGGCCTGTATATACAGTGGTGGCCAAAATTGTGGACACTTGGAAATTTTTATGTTTTTGAAATTTGTATGCTTATAGAAAATGTTACGTTTCGCAAAATGCAAACTTGTATATATCCTTTTAAAGAGAATGTATTACTGAATTCAATACAAAACGCAAAATTCAATTATTTGCAATACAAAAAAAGTTATATGTACTTTAATATAAATAAAAAACACAGTTATGAAGTGGTTTGTAAGTCTAGCTTTCCTGGCCAATCACTGTTCTTGTTCTGAGAACCATCAAATGTTATAACTGCCAGTAGAGCTGACATCACTTTACACTTGAAACAATTCATTATTTTGCTTTGTTCTATAGATGGAGGACCTGTTTCTTATACACTGCAATTACAAGTAGGAATTTTTGTAAAAATTTTTAATATTTAGTCAAGAAGCATGACTCAAATAAAAGAGTAGATTGGACGCCTAGAAAGAGGTAATATATTGTGTTACGAGAAAGTGGTCTTTCCTATGCTGAAATTGCAAGACAGGTGGGTGGTTCAGTGACTACTGGAGTCCGAAAGTTTTGTTTACGATATCAGGAGACAAATTCAATAAAAAACAAAGAAGGAAAAGGCCGAAAAAGATGCACCACATCTGTTGATGACAGAAGAATAAAAAGACTATGTCTCCAAACAGAAAAAAATGTCATCAGCGGCCATCAGAAGTGATCTGAATGATGCTGGTGTTTCTGTCAGTTCAAGAACAATGAGAGAAGATGAACAGATTTGGACTAAGGTAGAATTCCACGAAAAAAGCCTTATCTTAATTTTCAGCAACGGAAGAAAAAAAAAAAAAAAAAAGACTACGTGGGCAAAAAAAAAAAAAAAACACATTATGACAGATCAGTGGTCACAATTATATGAGTGATGAAACTAGATATCGTTATTCGGTAGTGATGGGCGAAAATATGTAAGACGTAGATTAGGAGAAGAGCTACAATCCGGACTGCATTCAAGTAACTGTGAAGAACCCAGTTAGTGATGATTTGGTCAGGCATGTCATCAGATGGTATTGTCGCCTTCATGTCATCGAGGGACACTGAATGCCAGAAAATACATTGACAGTATTCTAGAACCAAAACTTCTACCTCATCGAGATCTCTTTCCCAACAGTGCTTCGTTTGTTTTTCAGCAGGATTCTGCTCCTTGCCACACGGCCAAAATATCGAAAGGTTTCGTACAAAGAGCATTAAATTGTTGTCATAGCCTCAATACTATTGAAAATTTGTGGCACCGTTTGAAAGCTCTTGTCCGAATGAGGCGTCCATCAAATGAAAGGAAACTAATTGAGGCTATGATTGTTTCCTGGTATCATGTAATAACGAAAGAAGAGCTTAAAACTCTTGTCAGCTCAATGAAACGTCGATGTGAAATTGTAATCAAAAATAAAGGGTACCCTACTAAGTACTGATAACTTACTGCAATCATCACTATCTAATGTATATCGATAACTATTATCGTTTAAACTTTTTTGTATTGCAAATAATTGATTTTGTGTTTTGTATTGAATCAGTAATAAATTCTCTTTTTCTCTTTAAAATGATATATACAAGTTTGCATTTTGTGAAACGTAACGTTTCCTATAAGCATACAAAGTTTAAAAACATAAAAATTTCCAAAAGTGTCCACAATTTTGAGCAAAAACAGAGAATGCTCCTCCTTTTTGATGGAACATGTTCATCTGAAGGTGCGATAATTCTGAAGATTGCTGGCGCTACGGTAAACATTGTGGGTCTGACTACAAATCTGGTTTTAAACGTTTTACCTCAAACTATGCTTTGTGATATCTTATCTGATATATGTTGAATATGATATGAAAAAGCAAAGGTATTTATTTAGTCATCAAATTTTTAATTACATAGTTCTCCACGCGAACATGGACACTTGCAAGTCTGAATTTAGAATTATTATCTATTTCATATTTTGTAAAACTTTAACGAGTTTTTGATTAACAAACTCAACGATTTAAAAGCCAGCAATAGCAACACTCTGCGGGGGAAAAAAGAACCTTTTTATCTCCAGCTCACGGAACTGTGTATCGGAAATTCTAAAGATATGCTCATTTAAAAATTATTTTGCGATATTGCTGTTGAACTGAGTTTTATGGTTTAAGTGCGAGGAACATGATATTTAATAAATAAAGATAACACACAATAGGTTAAAAAAACGCCCCTTTCGACGTTATTTAAAATCTTTCAGATTTTATTTTTTCCTACTTTCCTGACGACTGATTTTAGAAATTAAGCCCTGACAGCAATAGAAAATTAAATATTTAATCATATCAGAAATAAAACAAAATAATAGCCAAAAAACAAAGTGAATTATTTCTTTCCTATAGCAGCACTGCTCAGTTCTCGCGGGGTTCAGCCGCTTAAAAAACGTGATTCAATGCCATGCGACGCTTAATACTACATTCGATTCTACCGAAAGTAACTAGTACTGGTTCATCGAATAACGAATACATACACAGACGAAATTTCTTGATACTTTGCGATACTAACGCTAGGGCTTAACGCTACTCATTTCTAAAGATGAGGGGCGCCAAAGACAATGGCTATCAGCAGCCCCAAGTCACAAAAATTACGTGCCCGGAATCTCTTGCTAGCGATTCTGCACAGCTCCAGAGGAACTGTGTGCCATGTAGCAGGCAGACACCCTTTTTAACGGACGGAACGTATATAAAAATTCAAAGCCAAAACTATCTAATACATATACTGGTGGCTATAAAATTGTATGCACGTTGTTAGGATTGTTTTAGTGTTAGATTTCGAACGTTCCTAATATACTTTACAGATTTACTTTCCTCCTAAAATGATATTTAGCAGATCTTTAAATAATTTAAACGGTTATAGTCCATTAACTTATTAATTTTACAGTAAACACGATGGAACTGAAAGTCAGTATCCTTTCTGTTCTATTTGACGCATTCCTTTCATTTGTCAAATGAACTTGTATGAATTAGTAAATTTTAACAGAGTACTTCTGGGTTAATGTAACTTCAAATAAGCAATTACAAAAGAGTAAAGTTACCGAAGCAGAGTGCGTGCAGCATTGTTTGACCCCACCCTTTCGCCATCCCTTTTTCGCACATAAATAAAATCCCTGCAATAAAAGCAATGATCCTCATGAAAGCATCACTGTTAAATGCTTGAAATAAATTTATAAATATTTGGAAAAAAAAAGAATCTTTGCAGGATTGTCTGACTGTATAAACTCAAGCCGAATCCTTGACAGAATATATCTTTACTTCACTGTTTGACCCCTCCTCTTTAGCCACGCCTTCGTAGAACAATGACAACAATCCACATATCATTCATTGCTTTTCTCGTAGAGAAAAAGCAATGAATCTCGGGAAAGCATTGCAGCTAAATTTTTGTTATATTACGAAAATGGAGAAAGATAAAGATGTAGCACTTCGAGATTTATCGTCAGAGAACACGCAATTATACAAGAATGTATTAGATTTCATTTGAAATGCGCACATTTTTTTTCTTTTTTTTTTCAAACTAAGTTATAACATTACAGTTATACAGAAAGTCATGATCACTTTCTGCTGTTCAGCACATTTCTAAATGCTATCTTCTAAATGCTTCTTGCTAAATGAGATTTCACGAACTTTATCAAATTATTCCAACAATAAGATAAACTTAACGCCTATAAAGAAGAAAGGGCAGAGATAAAGTTTTAATTATTCAAAATCCTTACTATTCGATTTTCTCATTCAATAAAAAGAGATCTTATCAAATATGGATCAGAGATTGTGGTGGTGCATCACACCTTTACTAATTAAAATATCTACTCGCCATTTAAAGCTCGGCTGACGTTTAATTACAATTTTATTTTTGTGCGTGATTGTCACCCAACAAGCGATATTTTATTCATGATATTCACACTAAAAAAAAAAAAAAAATTTTGTTTAAAATTACAACTACAGTTTAAAATTAGCTACTCTCAATTTAGGCTGCAACATGCCATATTGCAACAATAATAGCCGGATGGCTCTAGCTGCAATCCTATCCCCTACACAAGTTTTCAGCCTCACGAGATTACATCAGGAACTGTCAAGAGTAGAATACTATTTTCTTACTGAAAACAAGAAAGCCGTTCCAGGATCTAATCCTTATATGTGCTGCCATCTAGTGACAACATTTGGCATTTCCAAATGGAATTTGATAGCGCAATGTACTGCCCTTAAAGTTTACACATAAATTTTTAATTCTTGAATTAAATAAAAATACTAGAAATACATTAACTTCGAAGAAAAATCAAAACTAAATAATACTTGAAAAGACACTCAACTTGCAAAAATATACAGATTGAGTAAATATCATTTGAAATATATGTTTGTACTTAAAGAAATACATTGTAAAATACAGAAATTAATAAGTTAAAAAATGAAATAATAGCTGCAATATGTAATTCAAAATAAACATTATCTACTAAATTTATGGCAGGTACTCGCCGTGAAGATGTTTTATGGCATTTACCTGATAATGGTATATAAGATGAAGTTGGTTGTAGAATAAAAATAAAACTACATTCAGTGGAAGTTTTAGTCTATTATAAAAATATTTTCTAAATGTAAAATTGAGTTTAGGAGATGAATAAAATTCAATAATGCTGGGAACATGCTAGATATATATGTTCTTTCGTCATATATTCATTTTATTTTATTTCATCTTATTTTTAAAATGATAACGGCTGAATTTCGCTATAAATCACTTATAAAATCGGTTCGCACTCGCCTTTTTTAAATTGTTGTGTTTACTTTATAGAAACGCTTTTCCACTTTTGCACAACTTCGAAAAGCGTTAGACATGACACGCCTCTTTATACATGGAACGCCCTCTGACTCCTCCTCCATGGTATCGAAATCTTTTCATTTTCGCATCAAAAACGTGTATAAGAAAAGTAATACGATATATAGAAAATAGCTCTTGTCGAATATAGTAACTTACAAAATTTCATAAAAGAAATTTTTTTTCATAAAACGTAAAAATCAGATGAAATGCATTATCAACCACTAGAATTTTAACTAGACAAACGAACCTATTATATATGAAAATTCCAAGACTTCAGGCTGTGCAATAGCGAGCTTGCATTAGGGGCAACGTGCAAGTACTTGTTACTTATACACGCCCTTGGGAAGGTCTGAGAGAAGAACCGTAGTAGAACCCAAACGGTTCCTCATGGGAACATGAGGCGGGCAAAGAGAAAATGATGTTCGTTTGGAGGGAGCAAATGATTCTTATTGTGATGATGCTGTGATCTTCAAATGAAATTGGGATATGCTCGTGGTTAGAATAAGTAGCTCGATATGCGAGGCGCCTTGTTCGGGCGTAACTCAATTCAGACTACTCCGCTATTGCAGCTCTATTTTTTTAATCATTATTTTACATCAGTCAGTTTCGCTACAGTCATCTGACTCAAAATGTATTTTTAATTGTTTGTGATTTTAATTTCGACGTAGTTGATATACGAAAATAGAATATACGAGTAATTTTTAAAAGATCTAAAAGGATTCAGATTTTAATTATTTTGCATCAGTCAGTTTCGCTACAGTGATTTTAACTCAAAATGTATTCTTACATTATTTGTGATTATATTTCCGACGTAGTTGATATTCGAAAACAGCATATAAGTGTAATTTTTGAAAGATCTGAAAGGATTCAGATTTTAACGTTCACCTAAAAGGGCTCAGCATAAATTAGTTGGTTATTAAACCATTCGATTTTAAAATCTCTTACTATCTTTCTTCTTTTTACAATGCTTTCCATTTTATATATAAATTGCATAAACATACATATTGTTAACTACATTTGCGTACAACGTGCTAGTTGCTGTTTAACAAACCTGCACCTTACTTTCTACATTAGAAGACAACGCAATCACATACTTTGATACTTTTTAGTAGACCTGTGTCAGCAGGAAATTTATCCTGCTATTACAGACACCTCAAATAGCCCCGGTTTGGGGATAGTTCGCATTCTTTACATCATAGAAAAGATCTTTAGCAGGGGATTGTAGGGATAAAAAGAGAAATGGCCCTGGCCAGTGTGTTTTGAGGGTTTTTGTTTGAGTGAGTTTGTTCAGTGTGTTTGAGGTGAAGTAATTCGTGAGATCGAGGTAAAAATGACTAAGTATTATAAACTGCAAGTACACCAGCATCATTCCCTATTTGTACGGCGCAACACAAGCCAGCGTATTAAAATGCCGACGAATATATTTATCAAGATTTATTTTAAAAGCAATGTTAAAATTTAATTATTAGCCCAAGTGAGCATTAGTCGAAAAGAGCTATTAGTCTCAAAACGGTATTTTGATTCGAACCACTTTTCAAAATGTTGCCACCAAATATTATCGCCCTGTATTATATTTAAAGAAACTAAATAAGAGAATGACAGGAATGTATGTATGGTCTGTCTGTGGAAAAAAACAACGGTACCTAAGTCATCAACTTGAAAATAGTTTTTTATCGAACATGGCACTGGCCGCCAAATCGGAATTCGAATTTGTTTTATTGGTCTATTCAATTTTGCAAAGCTTTAAAGACTCACAATTTCAAAGCCAGCATTGACAACATTGTAGGGAATGAAACAATTTTATCTCCAGCAAAAAAAAAAAAAAAAAAAAAAAAAAGAAACGCACGTTTGGGCGAACATAAAATTGAAAACTTAAGATCTTTTTAAAATTGTTTATTATTTTATTATACTTCTTTGATCGTCAGTTTTTGTGTGTGCGCTTTTAATGTTCCATGTGCACTAATTTTTGAAAGGCGTCCGCGTTCACCCTCGCATAGCTTAGAGGAAGTTAGTTATCCTTTCAATAGCTGATATACCTTACTTAACTGTGTAGTTACCTTACGGTTCGATAGGTTTTATTCTGTAAAATTTAATAAAAAAATTTTTTACAAATCCTTGCTGAATGCCAGTGCCTTGGATTAATAACAGAGAATGAAACAGGAAAGGCGCTGTCAATAAAAAAAAATATAAAAAATAAAATTGGAAAAAAAAAAAAAAAAACTAATTACGGGAAAAGTCAGAGGTTGAAATGACATAATTTTGAGTTTAAGAGAAAAGATTAAAGGAGAAATTGGGGTATGAATTCTTTATGCTGAAAAGATGTACTTCATACATGGAAAATTTAAAATCCTCAAAGCAAATATATACACAAGATTAGTTTTTCTTATCTTTGTTTTAATTGCTTCAGTTCTTTTTACAGCTTATTATCATGAATAAATAGAATATAAATTACGAAAAGAGTTATCAGGTCCTTTCAGTTTCAATAAATCATGTTGCGAAGGTTCGTTTCAGGATTTCAGCATCATTCCAGCTCTTCGTCGTCGACATCATCTCCTGGCCGGTAATCCGAATGGACGAAATATTCTTCTATCGAAGTTATGGTGACATTGTGTCCATCTACCATCATGGTATAAGGCACAGATCGAACATGAGAATCGTCTTCAAAAGCTTCAGGTAAATCGCTGACCAGCAACTTTGTTGCCAGTTTTTCGCTGTCGAAAGTATTTTTCGTTTCCTCGCTTGCATCTCGTTTGATTTTGAATTTTGAAGGGGACATGTTAACCTAAGAAGAGGTAAGCAATTATATATCAGAATCTAATACAAAAATATCAGCTATAATATTTTTACCCTCAAAAAGAAAATCTTCTGGAATAAATTAAAACATCTAGGCTTTGGCTAGATGATTTCAGATGCTTCCTTTTTTATGGAAACTTGGCAACTGCGTTTAAGCTTTCGTTTATGCGTAATTTTACAGTTTTGTAATATGCTACATACTGGACCTAATACGGGCTGAGAGGGGGGCGGAATTAAAGGTGGGTTACTCACAACTTATAATATTTTATCCAATACCTAACCCATGGCAATTTTGTAATTACATTCCTTTTTGTGTAATCTCTTAAGAAGTCTAATTTAATTTTCATTGTTATGTTAATTGGTTTCCTTTTTTTCTTGTTCGATGTTTTCACGTGCCAGACAACACAATCTGGATGTAAACAGGGAAACTGTAATCAGAATGAACTGAAGGTTTAGCTTAGGATACAACCATAAAAGGATACATTATAATATTACAATAAGTATAAATGATTGATTAGTAAGAATTAAATTCTTGCTTTTTCTTTTTTTAGATGTCGTAATATAATGCGCATTCGTTTAATTCTGGCATTTATTGTAAATAAATTCGTGATATTTGTCAAATGGTTTCTCTTTGTTGTCATATACATTTTGTTAAAATTATGCACCTTAAATATATATTTAACGAAATACAGTGAAGATTCAGAATTTAGTTAGTTCCTGAAGACCGTTCGTCAACCGAAATGTTCGTAAACCGAAACGATTGTTTCCCCAGGAATTAATGTAAAATTGATCAATTCATTCCTGAACCATAGATAATGACTTATTTAAATTTTATAACAGTGCACTATGCGCAAATCAATAACCAACGGAAATAATTAAATATAAAACAAAAAAGATAAACACAATATTAAACAGATTAACTAGACGAAAATTTAATTAACTTCCATTATATCTGATGAAGGAGCGTGGACGGTCATTAGGGCAAAATGATGAGAAAAATGTTATGATTTGGATGAGGCATCCCATTTCATAAAAACATGAGATCAATAGGACCAATAAGGGAGGCCTCTTCTTATTTATTTATTTTACTCTTTCTGAGACTCACTGAGCCTTCATTTGACTAAAGTTTGTCCAATGGGATTTGTTGTTACCTATGTTTTAAAACGTTTCTAAAGTGTGACATGAAAATGCTTATGCTGCAATTTTCTTCTGCTTTATAATCGAAGGGTAATATCGTAACTTGCAAAATCTGCATCTTAGCCCTTTCGCCAAAATTTCTAGGATTAGGAAACTTAAAATTATTTTTCTTCCTTCTTCTTATGAAGCCACTTATTCCACAATCACCTTCTGTTGCTGCAGTCATAATCTTTTTTTGGTTGGCCATTTGTATGGCCGCCTAGTAACTACTCCGCGTCTTTTTTGTCAACTTCCTAGCCCATAAAAGGTACTAAGTGTCTCTACATGCAACCCGATATAGCTATAATTTTCTCCAGGCCAAATTCATGGTCTTGTAAGTTATTGGCTGCCAGGCCTTCGTTAATGAGAATTAAGCAATGGAAAATATTAAAATGATGTTTCTTGAAATCCCTGAGTGTTAAATTTGTGACGTAGGTTATGTCACAACGCTCATGAAAATCACATGTTGCTAACTTGAGTGTTTGTAACTCGATACACTGTTCGTTAAAAGGCGTTGTGCGTAACTCGAAACACTAAAAGGCGCAACTCGGCACACTAAAAGACGTTGTTTGTTCAGCTAATTTATTCCTTGAGTAATTTGAAGCTTCACTGTACAACCAGTATTCATCTTTTCTTCAGTTACGAAGTTGATATCTTAATGCAAGTATGAAATATCGTTAAATAAATAAAAAAAAAAAAAAAAAAAAAAAATACGTGAAATCCAAACATTTAAAATTATTAATTTTTTGCGTACCGCACAATTTCCGACAATGCAGTTTGCTTGGGTATAGGAAACATTCAATGGTATGGCAGCCTAAAAGAGAAAATTATAAGAAAATAAAAAATTAAATTTACGTACGCAATATTTCTTTATTCAAAGCCAAAGTACAAAGGAAATGAATATCAGAGAGTAAAAGAGATATTCTGAGCAAAGAAACAAGATAAATTAAATAGAATGTTAAACTTAAAGATAAAAAATAAGGAAAAAAAAAAAGAACAAGTTAAACATAGTAAAAGTACTTCACTTACCCCCATGACGCAAGTTGTTAGCTAAAAATGAAAAAAATATCACATTTAATTATTAATGCTTTCTTATTTGAGACAAGTTTAATTAAATGCACTTTTAGATGTAACTTTCAGTGATAACAAGATTAGTAGAATTCACATTTGCAGTACCTTAAAAATTTAGTTCTAGATTTGTAGAGTTATTAAGGTTTTAGAAGCAGGATCCATGAAAAATGAGCAATGCCCTTCAAAAAGAATAATGACTCAAATGGCGCCCTAACTAAAAGGTGGTGGACGACAACTCGTCACCGCCAGGATTTGGCGGTTTGATCCCTAATCCCTAGTCGCCCTTTACTTTCTCCCTCCTTTCCGCATGCTTTCTTGGTGTAATTGGAAGCATACTCGAAACGTATTGGAGAGGTTCCGGGTTCGAGACCCTGGGAGGGCATTGCTCATTTTTCACATCTCCTGCTTCAAAATAACCTAGTGCCTCCTATGCCGTACCGAAGGGCACGGTTTCGAATCCTGAAGAAGGCATGGATGTTTGTAAATGTACAGTGTCGGTGCGGCATGGCAGCAGTCTAAATATGCGGCGAGTCCAAAGTCCTGTCGTGTGGTTTTGTGGAAGAGGGGTGGGAGACTCGCGGATCCGTCACCCCGAGGTGATCTCCATCAAAATTGGCTGTGGAACTGAGATAAATCTCCCTGTCACCTGAATGGTGCTCAAGTTCGGCGTAATCTAGCGCTCCCTGCCACGTGGAAATTTCGTGGCCTTGGGCATAAGCAACAACAAAGTGAGCATAAGCGACAACATAAAATAACTTAATGACTCTAAAGTCTTGCAGGCAGAAAACTCTATCTTATCTCTCAAGGTTAATACTAAAAAGTTCAAGTATTAGCTAAAATTTCAGAAGGCTTGAATCAAATGCATGAACTCAAAATTCACTCAATTTTCTCGTATTTGTTAGCTGTCTCGACAAAAAAATGGTAATCTCTAGGTGTCATAAATCCTGAAGTTTTAAAGCTCACAATTTTCAGTTCAGACAGACAAAATCGTCGCTCCTCGAATGACTATATGAGTCATTTAAAATACATATTTTCCCAGCCGCCTTGAACAGGAACAGAAAGTACTCACGAGTTGCTTCAGGAACTGATTGGGGGACTGTGATATGAATCAAAGAATTGAAGAAAATAGCCGATGACGAAAGACAGATTACATATCAGTGATTAGATAGACAGATTAGATACTAAACTCAGTGGCGCAACAGCCGTAGAGAGCCACGCCCTGCAGTGCCCCGAAATCTACTTCTTTGACCTTGGACCCCAGAGTGCATCAGCATATGCCCTGGGCAAGTGGTCAGCTTGTCGCAGGACCCCTGGTGTTTAGTCCCCAAGCAAAATTGGTGCTCATTTTATCGACCCATCAAGGGATGAAAGTCTGAATCAGAGTGCAGTCTGAGTGAGAAAGTACAACGAACCCCGGTCCTGTGGTGCAAACCACTAATTAGATATTAATTTAGCGAAAAATTGTTTCAACTTTTCTTTAAAATTTAATGGATAGGACAGTATGAAATGCCCCTCTTTTAGATAAGAAAATGCACTACCCTGGGGATACGTATATATAGTTTGAGAACCACTTCTTTAAAAAAGAAATGCAGATTTTGAAACAGCTTACTTTCTTTTAATTAAAAATCACTTGATGAATAAACAATAATAAAATAAAATAATTCTAATAAATTATAAGCTAAATCACAAGTTTTTCTAAGGAATATTTTTAAATATTCATAAAAACAACGTGGGGTTGTTTGTGAGGATGACAAAATGACACATCGCTGAAAAACGTTCGGCTCAACGGAAACTACAAATAATCGAAGTAGATAAGTGAAGTTCTGTAGTTATTCGTTCCTTTCCATCGAGAATTTCGATGCAAAGAAGCTCAGTATACGCTGCCTATAAGCGTATTTGCTTTAACGCAAGACTTAGCAAAGATCTTTTTAAAATTTAGGTTATTTTAATTCACCCAATTAGTTTTTTAATCTTAAAGTGTTTAATTTAATAATTAATTTCTAAAACTTGAATTATCTAATTAGTTTAAATTTTAGGTTATCTCATTTAAATTAGGTTAAAATTTAGATTATCTTAATTAGGTTGCCTAACTAACTTTTTAGTTTTAAATTTTTTGACTTAATAATTTATTTCTAAATTTATCTAATTAGTTTAAAATTTAGGTTGTTTTATTTTGGAAACGTAAAGGTACCTGAAGTGTGCTAATAGTGCAGATTCACTTGAAAATGGACCACAAAATAAACATAAAAAGTATACTAGGAATACATATGGACACACAGTATGACACATATGGAGGCACTACGTAATGACACTATATGATCTTTCGAAAAATTAGATAGAACTGCCATATCGATATAACAATAACATAGATATTACAAGTATATTTACTGACATATATTTTAGCAACTACAGTAACACATTTCTCTTAAAAACTCGTAAAGAAACGGAAAGCGTTTCATGTGTCAAAGATTATACTTACGACAATGGGGTACAATGTATTCGGACACATTATGCACACGGGCTGAAATTTAAAAAAGAAAAGAAAATTCGAATTATGATATTTATTTAAAATATTTGTAGATCTTTGAAATGCAATCAATTTTGGATGTTTTATCAAATACAATTTTTCTTAGAGTTTCGTGAGATGCTTACCGTAAATTGGCTTGGATCATTGGAATACAAACAAATCTTTGTGAAAGAAGGTTGATTGTTTTTCCAGAAATTTGGCCCCTAAAAATAAATTTGCTTCATTATTCATAATATTCTGTAAAATAAAGCCTTGAGAACGTTCGAAACCTATAAGGTTTTAAAAATAACAATCATACTCCTAAAGTCGAACTAAAGAAAAATATTTTTTCTTTTTAAACTATGAAAATTTTGGATTGGAATGCAGGATGAGATTTTTCGGAAAGAATCCAATAAACTTTATACTGCATTATAAACTTATAATTAAAATGGACTTTTAATACGGCTTTAATTGCTAGAAATTAGATTTTTGGTTTGGAGATAGAAAACATTAGACTAAAAAATGTATTTTTTGGCACCCATTGAACTTGTCGCAACGGCGGGGGGTCGCGCAGTTGACTCTATGTAATGATTAATACATTTGTTGAAGTTGTATAATAAATACTTCATTTTTTTTAACTCAAAACATATTTATTACAAATTATGAGAAACTCTATTTATATATATAAAGAAGAATGTCTATTTGTATGTTTGTTTGTTTGTTCGTGTTACTAATTTCTGATCAATTATGATCAATTTTTTGCCACATT